TCCCTTCCAACTCTGTCACTCTATTCTATTGTGTTGTAAGTCTTGAGTTTCTCCCAAGCTCGGGGTCTATTTCATTGCTGCCTCTGTGGTTATCTCCTTCCACAATTCCTCCTTAAATCAGTTAATTGAATTTTCCTAAGTAACCCTCCACCGTGGCGGGTTCTTATCTTATCTACAGGCGAATTACACATGCAAACAGTGTTGACCCCAATCACCTCACTTGCACACTTCAAAGGTCTGAGACAAGACCGAGTCTTCTCAACACAAAAGGGTTGCAAATCCAGCGTGCGCTAATTTGGCAATTTACAGGTGGGACGTTCCCCAAGTGACCCTTTGCAGTTACAACAGCAGGGGAAAAGTGATGTGTACATCCCTGTTTTTCACACTTACGACCCTCACACCAGCCTCATAATCCCGCGATCACCACTGGGAAAGCTGGACTCGTATTTACGGCGGTCGTAGTGTCTCAAGGTCAGACACGATCCCCTTTTGCAACCTTCGGGCAAGCAAAGTCAACGGGGAAGCCGGTTTCACTTAATGACCGTGTGGCTAAGGTAACAACAGCGGGGATGAACTTAACAATTTTGGCAAGGAAAGTCATAACATGGGTCAAAACCAGAGGTGGGATTCAGCCGATTCGTACCGGTTCTGGAGAACAAGTAGCGGAAGTTTTCAGTAGTTTGGAGAACCGGCCAATCCCACCTCTGACTGGCCCCGCCCCATCTATGCTCCGCCTCCTGAGTCCCAGCTGATTGGCTGGCTCTTCTTTGGTTGCCCTGCCTAGGAGAACGGAGCTGGAAAGCAGGTTAGTGGGGTGGGGAGGGAAGGGGGATTTTGCAGTATATCCTTCCCCTGCCACACCCAACAAGCCACACCCACAGAACCGGTAGTAAAAAATGTTGAATCCCACCACTGGTCAAAACTCAACGACGGTCTTGCTCAGCAACAGAAATTTTAGGCTCAGTGGTGGTCGTAAGACGAGGTTATAACTTCACACACACACAAACACACACACACACACAAGCCTTGCAGTTTTCAGTTCACAGTAAAGGGAGGGAGAGGGAGCCTGCCATACCCATTGCAAGTGTGCAACCCTCAGTCTCCTACACCTATGGAAGTGTGCAAAACTCCCACACACCCTTGTCCTTCTCTTGCTAGCTTTCTCCCTCCCCCGCTCTGGTCTTGCAGCTGCTTCTCCCACACTTCTGCTGACCAAAGCATTTGATGCAGAGGTCTCAAAACATGGCAACTGTAAGACTTGTGGACTTCAACAATAGCTTAGCATAGCATAGCATAGCATAGCACAGCACAGCACAGCACAGCACAGCACAGCATAGCATAGCATAGCACAGCACAGCACAGTTTAGCATAGCATAGCTTAGCATAGCATAGCATAGCATAGCATAGCACAGCACAGCACAGCACAGCACAGCACAGCATAGCATAGCATAGCACAGCACAGTTTAGCATAGCATAGCTTAGCTTAGCATAGCATAGCTTAGCTTAGCATAGCATAGCATAGCATAGCATAGCATAGCTTAGTTTAGCATAGCATAGCATAGCATAGCATAGCATAGCATAGCATAGCA